AATAATAAATATACGTCTCGCTCGGTGCACTATCGCACACAGACGTACCTTAAAGTGTTTGGATACATACGACAGATATACCATATGGGTTTTGCTCCTCGTCACAATTCTGCCAGTCGTAAATTAATCATTTCATTTCAGGTTATATACCTTAGCGTAGTATATTTAAAATCTAATATATTATTGCACGGCTTGTATATCTCGAAAAGTAAACGTACTGCTGCTATAATTGTATACATACAATTTTTAAATTTTATAAAATGTCATTACTGGTATAATAATAATGATTGAGTGTAATTAATTAATAACAAATGGAAAACGATCTTTAAAAATCACAATTTCCGTACTGTCGTATATCCATTTATAGCTGGCGCCATATAGATAATATAAAGCCATATAAAATATAAGAAAATAATTAGTACTAGTATATTTAAGTTTCTTTATCCCTACATACTTAAATTGAGAGATGACAGTGAACATACTCTGTTCGGTACTTGAGCATCGGTACTTAAATATGACAATGTGTGCACGTGCATGTCAAATTGTTAATCCTTTGAAAACTACGATTTACTTGTTACATTTTAGCCATTAAATATACTCGCGTATGACGTATTTATCTTTAATGCAAGAATTTAATTTAAATATTAATTACTACACTAATTATTATGCACTAATCAATTTGTCATGATTAAAAGGTATATTCAATTAGGTACTTAGTTATTGTGTATTGGCGATTGGCAATATTTGTGTAAATACTATAAAGAATATAAGGAATGGCTTTTTTATTATTTAACTGACTTAATAACATGTAAAATGAAGAATATAAGGAAACTAAAACAACGTCATACGTTATAGTATTTATTTTATAATGTAGGTCAAGTTAAAAAACTATATATATATATAATAAAATATCATGAAATAAACAAATACAGATAACTTGATAAGATACGAATCAAAAATGTACTTAGAAATCAAATCTTTTTAGTTTTTGCGAAAATAAATTTAATACTTCTCTAAAAAGTATTCAAGCCCTATTATGTAACAATTATATAACGTTTTAATAATGTATAAAACTGAAAGCAAAAATTAACAATATAAACTTAAAATATAAACTAAGAAAAATATTTATTTAGAATTAGTGTTGAAACTTATCTCGATAAAAATATAACTGTCTATTATTTTATTCAGATAAAAATATAAACGTTATCTACTATTTATTTGTTTAGATATTTTTTTAGTGTATTATATTTAATTAATATTTTGGGGACTCGGGGATTTTGCCACAGATCGCTTGTGTAGCTGCCACAAAAATATATTATAATAAAAATTTGTAGCCAAAATGAATATGATTGAAAAAGTATCCAAACATATTTCCAAATTTCGACAAGTACTTATACCCTAATAAGTAGACCTTGGGCGTCATTGCATTTGCAATTTTTTTCCTATTGTTTGAACTTATTGCAAATAGGTAAAAATTAAAATCCAAAAACTTTTAGTGCAATTTTATGCAATTTTTAGCATTTTTCTGGTTTGATTGTAATTTCGTTGATTTTCCTTATTTATAATAACATTTTAAATATTTTTTAATGTAATTCACATGATTTAATTTTTCTTTTACATAAGAAATAAAATATTCATGAGGTCGCGCCAAATATTAATATATGTCAGAATAATATAATAATAAATAATAATTTATGGTTATTTTAGAATTTGTTGATTGTGATGGTAATGGTAGAAATATTGTTTCATAAGAGGATGTAGGAGTTGCACAACTTGCTTTCCTCTAACAGGAGATTTTCGAGTTAGAAAACTTAAAGAATTCATTTATCACGCAGCGCAATCATTTTTATGGTAAAAACACAAATGTGTATTAAAAATAAAAATAAAAATTGTTCAAATAAAACGTTTTAAATTTTAATAACTTTATTTGTAGGCTCCTGGAATACCAGACAAAAATCACTATTCCAGTATTAATATAAATTTTTATTTTGAAATATTTTGTAAAATAGTTAATTTGTTTAATTTTACTTAGTAAATTAACTAACATTTATGTCAAAGGCGTATTTGGAATTAATTTTTAATCTTAATCAAAGTTAAATGATATAATAATTTTTACTAACCAATGAATTCTAAAAAAGTACGTAAAGTCGCATGATAATTCATAAAATGCTAGGATGATTGTTGAAAAATTCAATCATTTTAATCGAAACTTTATTTCGTTGTCATTCAGTCAATTTTGGTTTTAGAGCTATGGTAGAAAGGACCAAATTGACTTAAAAATGTTGATCTATTTAAATATATTTATGAAAGTAGGTGTTGCTACTTAAAAAAATGCAAGTTTTGTAACTAAAATAATAATAACTTTTTAAATAATGGATAACAATTAATAATCATCGTCGTCATCTACTGTCTCTTCGTAAAAACTATTAAAATATTCTTGAAAATAAATCCTTTGATCTACGTGGAATAGTTTTCTTTTCGTTTATTATATATTTATAAGTATTAATGAATTGTAAAATATCGTGACACGTTAATCGGCCAAACGGATAAAGCCATTGTTCCATTATTTACCACGGAACGCTAAGATGAGGTTCAGAATAGTATATATATAGTATTACATTTTTACCTAAATTTATTTATTCATAACAAATAAAATATTTTAAATTCGAGGTACACTTAAAACGTTGCAAACAAACACAAAATGTTTTATTCATGATTGATCAATACGTATTTATTTTTTTTATTTATTTTTTTTTTTGACAAATTTATATAAAACCATTGTTTTTTATAAATGTATTTGATTTTTGTCTAAATGAATTATGATTATCTTTGACCTTATATAAATACAATTTTAGTTGAGCTTATTTATCTTTATCTAGATAAAACAATATTTATCTGGACTCAACATTATTTAGAATTACAATTTCAGCTTATTAATTGGTCATAATTAGAAAACCCAGAAATTATATTTTGTTATATCATTGACACAGTAATTAAATTATTCTATTATGATTTGAATATCGAAATAGTTTTTAAATTCTTATGTTTTGGCTAGCAGCAATCTTAGTGATGCGGAAAATATAAAAGGTCAAGGTTTTTTTTACTATCAGTCTAAAATTTGTAAGTAAAAAAATTGTTTTTAATCTTTCGTTATACATCATTCGCTGTTTTAAAATAAAACAAAAAACCTTGATACAGTGAAATTAAAATAATTAAAAGCTTTTGACTTGAAGTCCTCAGCTATTGAACGGAGACATCTAGATCGGTTAGCGATTAGATTGCCAGGATATATGAGTGGTGAGTGTACATGAGCCAACCAACCTTATTCCTTCAAATGACATCCTCGTCTCTTCCAAAAATACGGCTTTACTCTTTAGTGTACCTAATTATGTTTTATATTATTTTATTACCTATGTATGATTTACACATGTTATTACAAACATTCGAGTGCGAGAACAATAATAATTTTATATTATTTTTTAAAGCGATGGTTTTCCTCATTGCATCACCTTTAGTCAAATGTATATTAAACAGGGGTGGCCAACATGACTATGTACGCGAGCCACATGTATTAATAAAATTATATCAAGAGCCAAATTATCTAATGTGTACTTTTATACCACAAAAGTAATAAAGATAGCAAACAGCCTATAAACATATCAAATTACGAAATATGAAATTATATCGTTTTTAATATAGTCTGTAGTCTGTGTTGAATAGTCCTATTGTAAACACCTCAATTTGTTTTGTAAAATATTTGTAATATTTAATAATTATATTTGTAATATTTTACCGATACTTATTGCGAAAGTTAGTTACGATGTCAATTTCTAATAAAGCGGTTAAACGTAAATATGAAGAAGAAAAACGGGAATTTAAATTAGAATGGGAAGAACTATACTTTTTCATACAGAAAAACGATAAACCATTTTGTGTCATATGTCAAGTTACATTATCACAATTTAAGGTTAGTAATTTAAAACGGCATTACGAAACCAATCACAGCACATTTAGTCGAGAATTTCCTATTGGTTCTGATTCGAGGAAAAATAAGCTATGTTCGATGAAATTAAAATTTGCTAAACAAACTAATGTTATGACAATGTTTACGAACGAGGCAGACGACTGTGTAGAAGCAAGTTTTGTAATTGCCTTTAATATTGCTCAAGCAAAACGTCCGTATACGGACGGCGAGTATATAAAAAAAAATATTTTAGATGTAATTTCTGTTTTAAATCCTGAAAATCAAAAACTTTTAAAAATGGTTGAAAATGTACCAGTATCACGACATACAATAGAAAGGCGTATTTCAACAATTAGCTTTGATATTTTCACCAATTTAAAAAACAACATTGCTAATTGTTTATCTCTTAGTCTAGCTTTAGATGAATCTACCGATATCCAAGATAAACCTCAGTTAGCCATATTTGTTCGTTATGTTACGAGTGATGTAGATGTGAAAGAAGAGTTGTTAGATCTAATTTCATTGAAGGAAACTACTCGGGGTATTGACATTAAGATTGCTCTCGATGAAACTCTACAAAAAGCTGAAATTCCACTAAACAAAATTATAAGCATTTCAACTGATGGAGCTCCTAGTATGGTGGGTTGTAAAAAATGGATTAATAGGACTTTTAAAAAATGATACTAATTTCCCAGATTTTATACCTATTCATTGTATTCTACATAGAGAACACCTAACTGCTAAATATTTTAAATATGATCATGTGATGGATGTTGTTTTAAAAATTGTAAATTACATACGTTCAAGTGCAAAAAGACATCGGCAGTTTAAAAACTTCCTGGAAGACATAGAAGATGATATTCCTAATGATGTCCCATGGTATTGTCTAGTTAGATGGTTGTCGGTCAATAACATTTTAACTAAATTTTTTCAATTAATAGAACCAATCAAAGTATTTTTAATAGAAAAAAATAAAAGTTTTCCTCAACTTTCAAATTCAAATTGGTTAAGAGATTTGGCATTTTTCACCGACATCATGCAACATTTATCAACATTAAATGTATCTCTTCAAGGTCAAAATAAATTAGTTAATGACCTAGGGCAAAAAGTATTTAGTTTTCAAAATAAACTAAAACTTTTCATACGAGATTTACAATCAAACAATTTTACTCACTTTTCATGTTTAGAAAAAATAGAAGCGTCCCTGATAGAATCAGAAATAAAAATTAATTGTGACGACTATGTACTTAAACTTGAATTTCTATTTACTGACTTCGAAGAACGATTTCGAGACCTAAAGGCATTAAAACCCTCATTCGGATTTTTAGAAAATCCATTTTTGGTTAATGTCATTGAAAAGGGATGTCCATTATCACATCCAATCATCACAAATAAAGCGGATCTCGAAATAGAACTCTTGGAGTTATTAGAAGATGAAGGTCTTAAGCAGTTTATAAACAATTGTCCCTCTATATTGGAATTTTGGAAGCATATTTCTATATTAAAATACCCAAATATTAAAAACTGTGCGGTAAAATTGATATCAATTTTTGGAACGACGTATTCATGTGAATCACTTTATTCAACAATGAAAATAATTAAATCAAAATATCGTTCAAATTTGACTGATGATCATCTTACAGAATTACTAAGAACTGCTCTTACATCAATTCAACCAGATCTTAAGAAGCTTACTAAAAAAGTAGACACGAAAAAAATACCACGCAAACAAAATTAGCTTAATGTTTAATTTTTTAATTTATTATTCATATTAATTAATTTTTTTTTGTTTGATTTAATCTATATTCTATCCACTATAATACTAAAGCCTTAAATAAATACAATAAAAACATTTTTTTATAAATGTATACAAAAAAAATTTAAATATTTTGGTTTTTGTAAATAAGACCGCGAGCCGCATACGACTGTGACGAGAGCCGCATGCGGCTCGCGAGCCGTGATTTGGCCACTATATTATTATACATGTATGTATATGAAAAAATAACATCACGCATATTATGTAAATTTTTCAAAACATGCAAATCGTCACGTCTGTTCTCCTCTTCCAGCGCAAGCATTAAAACGTTTTCTTAACTATATCAAAATGTATCCTTATATATATATATATATATATATATATATATATATATATTGTAATATAAATGTGTATCTATGTTATATTATGTAATAAATAAGTTTACCAGAACTTTATATATTTTTAAAATATTCGTAATATCGAGTTACTCACGTGTAAGCGTATATGTATGTAGAGTTTGATTGAAAAGTGTTAATTTCACGGACGCGTTGACCATGATGTGTATAAGAAAATATGGTAATGCAAAGTTTTAACAATTACTCGTTAAGATATTCATGTGTTATGTGCAGAACACGCGAATTTCCGTAGGACGCACAGAGAGAATCAATGGAATAAGACATAATGTAATTATATCGTCAAGTACATTTATATTAATTTATTGTTTTGTTTTTGTTATTTTTTATTTCGATGGCATTTGGGAGAATTTAAAATAATTTCGTTGCAGCAATGACATACTCACACATATGTATTTTGAGGGGCGAGTGGGATTAAGTTTTGCATTTAAAGCGCGGTTGTGTTACTAGTCGACCTCACCGTCGTTTGATCGTGATAAAATAATACATTTTACATTTTTTTATTGATCACCTGAATTCTGCAAACAATTTTTTATATTTTTATTTAAATTCATAATCAAAGTTTATAAGTTATACAATATAAATAATACAATTAAAAAAAATGAATAAATAACGATAGTGTTTTTTTCTCACTGTATTCGTATAGTTATAATGTTAATTGTTTATAAATAAAAATGATTTAATGAGGTCTTATGGTCTTACTCATAGACACTTTAAAAGTTTTACTTTCGAAATAGAAGTCAAGTACAGTGATGTGTTGTATTATAATCATTTTCAATGATTAAGCAAAGTAAAGGTTTTGAAACAATTTTTGAACTAGAAGAAATCTAAATGTTCATGATCGACAAGGGAAAACATAAGATGATAGTGGGTTGTGGGGTTTAGTATTTGTTACAAACTAAACAATATATTTAAATATTTTAAATTTGATATTATGAGGGCTTGGAATATTCATATTTGACATGATTAATTTTATTAAATCATTTGATGTAAAATTTAAATATTAAATATCAAATTAAGACATTATTCAGTCATTTTGAAAACTGCTAATTATTTAAGAATAAAACAAAATAATTATGGTCAACCAATGGTGTGGGTAAAAATTATTTATGGGGGAGGAGTATTGATATATTTAGGTAATAGTAAAAATAATTATTTCCTAAATATTTACTAGTTAGAATTTTGGCGATGAGGAAGGGATTTTAACATTCAAACCCTCGCTTAGCTAAGCCACTTTGGTTAACAAATCGATTTGTAGTTAGGTATGTTAAATAAATTGCAAGTCTACATTTCGATATATATGAAAAAATTTTGCATTTATTTAAAAATAAATTTAATATTGATGATATTTATGCCGAGACTTCTTTTCAACTTGACCTTTATAGTTGAAAAAAAATTAATTTTACTTAAGTTACTTAAGTTTAAAAAAATTCAAAAAAATAAATAGATGTTTTAAAACAATACTTAAAACTTTCACATGAAGATTTCTCTGATTTGAGAGACATTATTATAAAAATGGCAACTGTATTTGGTTAGTTTGTTTGTAATAAATATGTTCATGAATGAAATAAAGAAAATCAGTTCATAAATCATAAATTTCTGATAAATACCTTCATTCAATTTTGAGGATCTGAACAACTAAATTCAAACCTGATTTTTCAATATTAATAAACGAAACACAAGTTCGAATTTCAAATTAAAAATAAGGGTAAAACATTTTTATATATGTTTTAGTTTTATTAATATTACTATTATTTTATTTATTTTTTAATAATTTATGAAAGAATTCATAAATTAATAAAAAATCATACTTTGTAATAATTCTACTTTTTTTTTAAAAATATTTTATTTTATTTTAAAATTTTGAACGGGCCGCTGACCGCGGGTTTTATTGCCATATGTTATTGCATTTATTCTCTTCTTAATGCAACTGAAGTACCTACACTAAAATATGTTTGATGAGAATTTACCATAATATACTATATTATTATATACATGAAGCGATGGTGATCTCTTCAATTAGTGCAGTGTTTTTCTGTAGGGATTATGGATTAGAATAAATACCATGAACAAAAAAAAAAAAAATGACAATGGTTGTAGTATGTCGAAGGGATATGATATTAGTACCAATAATATTATGCAGTATTTGATTGTTTAAAATGGGATACTGATGATTATTGAGATGTATTATTTTACATTAATCCTAATTGTTTTTAAAAAATGTAAAACAATTATTTGCTTAACAGCGTTACATTTCTCGAATCAAGTGTCTATATTTAATTTCTTAAATACCATGTATTGTTAATGTTTTGTGGCTTGGAAATTTATTGCAAAGCTAACCTTGGGCTATTTTATATTTTAAAAAATGTGTTATAAATTCGTATGGTTTGGCTCGAGAAAGTTTTTTCTTTTTACTGACGCCTATAAGTTTGAAATAAAACATAAACTATCGTATTCGTGAATAATAGGTTGTTATATTTTTCTTATTATTAATAAGACGATATTTGGCATAATTTATTTATTTTTTTATAAATGTATTATATAGCTATTTTAAATGTATATAAGATAAATTAAAAGATACGATTAATGAATCGTAAATACTTTTCACCTGTTTAAGTTTAGAATCGTTTTTCCAGATGCGATGTGCTTTTAGTGTATTTATGTACTATTTAGAAAGCTAAGGATGTAACAGGTGACAAATACAAACACCAGGACCTATATTTGATTGACTTTGGATATTTTTACGATTTTATAAATGCATAGAAAAATTCGTTTTCCCATTCGTATACAAGGGCATCGAGACGATGTTTTCGACTGCGCCACATAGTTTCTAGAGGGTTGGTCTCTCATAGGCATACGTCTATAATTGTAGTAGTCATTATATTGCACACTTACACATCAAAAAATCCGTACAACGCATACGTTTATATCACACGTGTACGTATGTGCCGTTCGCGTTTGGGTGATGGTAAAACATTGCAAAAATTATTGGCAGTCAATGCAAAATCGATTTAGAATGAAAATACGTCTGGGAAAAAAATTACAAATAATATCAATAACTAAAAAACCGATGATCGTCGCCCAAGGTTGTAGCGCGACCATATGTCAATAGACGATAAATGCACAACGTCGATGGTGGCATAGCTGTGATGTTATTATAATGGAAACTCTATGTTTATACTCTTATGTGCGATAATAATATATACAGTCAAATCTCTGTTTAATGAACTTGGAATTTTGAAAAAAAAAAAAAATCCGTTAGTAAAGAAAAAATATTTCAGTTTTCATTTTTACCTTATGAAATATATGCAAGCTATAATAACGTGAAATATTAATAATAAATATAATAATATAAATAAAACTAATATTACGATAATAACTTGAAATAATATTGTATACGTTGGTAATGTTCGGATTAGATAAGTAATATTTTATCTAGATAATGATAAAGATAATATAACTCAAATGTATTTAGATAAAGATAAAAGATAACTTAATACCATATTTATCTAATTAAAAATTAAAATTAATTTTTAAAATTAGTGCTAGTGCTAAAGTAAAGATAACTTAAATCATTTTTATCTAGATAAAAATGAAGATAAACTCTTTTTTTATCTTGATAAAAAAAGATATAATTTATTTTAAATATATTTAAATTAGTGCAAATTTAACATAATAGGTTTTTTTTAGTATTATTTTATTTGCTTTACCTTACAGCATTATATCAAATTTATGTAGTTCAAACACAGATTATATGTTAAATACATTTTTTAGGATTTCTAAATTACTATTATAATAATGAAACAATGTATGAGGAACCGGTTAAAATGATTAACATATTTTTTAAATTAATTATTTATACTAATAATTGTATAATAATAACAATTATTATTTAGTAATTTCGTTGTAATTATAATTATAATTAGTTAAAATATAAATTAAACATTTAATTTATCATAATTTTAATCATCCATAATTCATAAGGCAAATGTTATTAATAATTAATATGCCCGTAGTTGCAATCATTTATTTTTCGAATAGTTCATTTTCATTTTTTATTTATAAACAATAAACATTAAGGAACTGGTTTAAGAAAGGGTGATGCGCTATCCCCTATGGTATTCAATATAGCTCTAGAGCACATAGTAAGAGCTATCCTTGAATCCTATACAGAGGTTAAAATTTAAGAAAATAGTGAAATAACTATAAGAATATGCAGATGATATTACAATCGCAGCTAAATCAGAAGCACATTTAAAAACAAAACAATTTTGAACCGGATATAATATCGGTTATTTAAACATTTTTTTAAATTGTACTACCTATTTGTGTTTTTTAACTTATAAACATTGAGTGATAATTTAAATAAAATTTTAATAAATTTGGTTTCACAATTCTGACGATGTTAATTTAAGATTAATGTTTAGATAAATTGCAACTATTTATCTAGATATGAAATAAAATAATTGTCTAGATAATTTACCTAGATAAGTCCGAACAACGGTGTTAATACTGATTAATGTATTATATAGAGCGGTAGGTAACATTAATAATATCATAACAGGCAGCATTGTTCATAGAACGCGTTAAGAAATTATTGTTATTATTGTTCGATTATAAATATTTTATTTAGAATTTGTTCTATAATTACTACACAATATGTTACTAAGGACTATAGAGTAGACAATAGTTATACAAGCATTACGCATTCGTATAGGGTAAAATATGTATACAACATACATACGCATTGCAGCTGGTTACGAATTTTTTTTACTCAAGATCGTTACTTTA